GTCTCCACTTCCCTTGAGCATAGGGCTCATTTCCCTTTGCTGAAGGAAGAGCTCAATTTTGTCTGTAATTTCGAGCAGTAAGCCATTACTGTGCCAAACCAGAACGCTGCTGTGAAATCGAGAGGAAAGCTGAGCTACAGTTTGTCTGGCTGTCAGATGCAAAGAAGATCTTCAGAGACTCTGACATTGTGGTTATTCAGTAACGCTTTCATCAGAAAGGTGGCAGCATTGCTCACAGTACATGTCTATGATACACTGAACAGCTCCATGAGATGAACACAGACGAACCAAGACAGAGAGAAAGAGTTCGAAAGAAACAGAAAGAGTGGAAAACAGAACAAGTGTGAAGTTATTAAAAGGCAGATGCAACAGTTTATGCTTCGACCGAATGATTTTCTTCCTCAGTCTTTTTTTCCAGTACAAACATCTAAACATTATTTAAACAAGATACATTTACTCAAGAAGCAAAAATGGCTGAAAAATGTATCAAAATTAGGTGAGTTTATGCCTAAAACAAGAAAGAAATATCTGCACATGGAGTCAAAAAATACACCTAATTCAAAGGAAAACGATACTATTTTTTTTCTGACGCCATTGACATATTTTGTTTTTCTTATTTTAAGCATAAACTCATTTAATTTTGATACATTTGTTAATATCTTAACGTCATTTTCTTTCTCAAGTAAATGTAACTAAGACAGTTCAAATAATCGTACTGGAAAACAAGATGAAAATACTGAATAAAGTAATTTTTTGCACAGGTAAAGTGACACCTGATGACCTTTGACCCCTGTATCAAAGCACTTGAAAAGGTTGGCTAAAAGCATATGCAGCGACCAACAGGTACAAAGCAAAAAAATAGCTTTATATTCCAGAGTAAAGTGTCTGTGCCACACGTGCACACTGACATTCGTTGTGAATTGTAAGAACTCATCATGCATCAGTAAATAATCAACGCTTCCGAATGAGTTTCTGTTGGAGGCGAAGCAAAGATCTCACCTGATTTAAACTTGCTGCGAATCAGAATGGAATGTTCAGATCCCAGTAGAGTCATTGTGTTCCAGTGTCAAACGCATCAACCGCGTCGCTTCAGCCTCTCGTAGAACACACTATCCACACGCATTCACGCGCTCAAGCGCTTTGGTCCCATGCAGACTGATTCTCTGCTCCATGAGAGACAAACTGATATGCAGCTCTGCTGGGAGGGTCTTATAGCAGAGGAGGCTTGACTGAGTCCCACCTCCTTCAGCTCACACACACACATGCACAGTGTAAGGATAAAAGAAACTCAGATACTTTGATCTCCTGAGAAACAGACAATACACTGGCATCTTCAAGACAGAGGGGTGCTGCAGGAAACGCCTCTCTCACACATGCATCAGTGCCTTTTCATCTCCTCCCTCCACAGGATTCACTCAAAATGGTCAATAGTATAGTGTTCTATATGAATGCAAATAAGATTTACAGTCATGTTTGGTTTCATTTGAATAGTCTCAGGGTGAGTGGTACAATGGTCTTAAACTTACAACAGTTGACTAAAAAGATAATACAGATCCTAAGAGTTAAGAGATACTTTGATTACCGTAGAGAGTCATTCCATGCAAATTACCTTCTGTTTCCCATTGAGGTGTAAACTAGCCACCCAGATTCCAATTGTTTGTACATGCCTCCATTTGGGGGATGTTTTATCTTGGTTTTGTATTTAAAGGATTGCAGCAAAAGGGTCGGAGTGATTCTGTAGTCAGAGAGCCCGTAGTATGGAGTGTCTACACACACCCTACACTATGTATTTCCTAAAGTCAGGTATGAATATCTTACTCTTAGATTCATCTTTGAGAATTTGATGTCTTGTATTGATTTAATATCGTTGAATTAGCTGTGGAGATAATTGGCATAATACATATTTACCTGACTGATAATAAATTGTTACATTTGACTTATTCTGACTTACTCTGAAATTATTTCCTCAAGTAGATTAAGTGAAGGCGTATGTTTCCGCAAATCTGCGTCCAGGGTTATGTGCATACTAAATCTCAGGTTAGATGAATCATCAGGTGAGATTATATGTTTCTGACTAACCGCTTGACCTAGTTAAGTTGTACTCAGTTACATTAACCATGTATATGATTTCAGAGTTAATTAAGTTGTACAGAGCTATATTAGCTATCGGGGGTTAGACAAGTGGATCTAGAAAAACAGCTGATTAATGTTTGAGTAATACATGGGTAACTGTAGGGGGCTAAACAGACCTACTGTTTAAAACATATTAAATAGTATTAGCCAAAAAACCTCTGACTAAGGATTAGATTGGGCGAGTTTTGTGATCGTGGGGCCCACATGGCGGCCGCCGTGAGGTACCCTAAAATGACATAGATTCCTAATGAACGAGTAAAATACAAAGTAAAGTGTTAACTAGAATAATCGAATATCAGAATAATCAGAGACCGACAAACAACCAATTTGCCTTTCAACCAAAATTCGAGGTCATACTAAAATGGAG